AACTCATGATCCTCTCGGCTCAGCCTCCCAGGAGGGAGGATTACAGCTGTGCAATACCACACCTGACTGTCTGCACACTCAGTCTCTAAGACTCAGGAGAGACACAGAAACAATTTGTGCATCTGACATTTTCTGAAAATCACGGAGGTCTGGGAAGAGTGGGATGGATTTCTTCTGGTTAACAGCAGCCCCTTTGGGGGTAGGGAAATAGGATCTGGGTCATTGTTGCTCTGGCTGTTAGCCCATGGACAGGTGTTAGAGCACCTAGGGGCAGTTGGCCTAAATAAGCTCTAGGACTTTTTTAAAGACACTGGTTTTTAGAGAACTTGGGGGGGGGGGGTGTCTTAAGGTTCCGTATTCTCTGGGCACAGCACCTGCTAGTGTTGGGCAGTCAGCAGCCCAGTGGTGGGGACTAGGACTGAATGGATAGGGCACAGGGAAACGCCTGTGGTTATTTCCAGAACACCACATCTGTCCTTCTGCTGTGTTGCAAGACTCAGAGGGAGCAGAGCACAGCCGGTACAGTTACCTGGGTGACGAACTTAGGTGATGCCCAGCTGGTTGGCAAAAGCTCTAGACAAAGCACAGAGTGGTCTCTTTGTTTAAACGTTTCTCACAGCCCTCTAATGGAGTTCTAGTATCCTCACTGGGCAGAGGAGATGAGCCTAGAGAAGTATCCAGACCCTTGAGAGACTTGCAGGAAATGAGCATTTTCTGAGCTATTATGAACTAGGCACTTATATTTGTGATCCACTGGCTCCTTCCCATATCCCCATTTCACAGATGAGGAAGTTGAGGTTATGTATATGGCACACTCAGAAAGAACTAATGAATCAAAAGAATTGTTAAAAAGAGAGGTGGGGGATGAATTACTAAAAAGTAACAGCTGACTTAGAAACTATTGAAGGAAGGGCGTTCCTCAGAGATTTCATGTCACTTACCCAAATCTCAGAAGCGACGGTCCAGGGTTTGTCTTGGTCTCCTCTGCTCGCTGTACTGGAGTAAACTCCTAAGATGCCCTCAGCCAAGAGCCTTGGAGCAAGGTGAATGAAAGTGTTGTCTGGCTGGCTTCAGGGTATGTCACACTATTTCTACTGCACTGCCAGTCATGGGCATAGTGAGGGCTCCTCTCGATGCCCACTTGTGGATGGAGCCCGTCTCTAGGACCACAGAGGCCCATAAACCCACTCAAACTTCACTGCACTGAAGAGGTGTGTTGAGGGTGCCGGACCTGCGCACACACCATAGGCAGAGCCACTCAGAGTTCTGCTGGCCATTCCCAATACACTCAGACATTCCATGGTGGTCTTCTGGCTTCCTATTGCCTGAGGAGGTGGTCCACATGGCCTGTGTGAATCCTGAAAGCTGTGAGGGCTTCTCCCTGGGAGAGGAGGTAGGTCCTCTCCACACTGCTGCAGGAGACCCTCCTGGCTGTGTGGGGTCCTACACTCTTTGCCCATCAAACCCACAGAACCCTTGTCAGCCTGTATGGTATAGCCACTCATACTGCCCATCCATCTCCTCCCCATTTCTCTCAGTGTGAAGGGAAAACACACTTACACCTGGTCATCAAATTTGATGTTGAAATTGCTGCTCCTCGGATTGTCCACCTGATGGAAAGGAACCCTAAAAAATCAAGAACAAAAGCCAGGTGGTGGTGGCACACACCTTTAATCCTGGCACTTGGGAGGCAGAGGCATGTGGATCTCTGTGAGTTCCAGGCCAGCCTGGTCTACAGAGTGAGTTCGAGGACAGTTAGACCCTGTCTCAAAACAACAACAAAACAGAACAAGGATCAAGAACAGTACATTTCAAGACCGAAAGGGCCTTCATGATACCTCTTACAGTTGAGCGTGTCTAGAGATGATGAATGGCAGCAAACAATGTTCTTCCTAGGGCTTTGTGACCTTTGTAAGTGGGTGTTGTCCCCATTAGGAGACCATCAGAATCTAAAATAAGTGACAAGTCCAGGTCATCTGCAGAGCTGGTGAGTGACAGAGACTTCTGTGCTACAGAGAATGTCCTGGGAGGGCAAAGAGAAGTCAGAGGCCTCACAGTCCAGCTCTCTCATAGCTCACAACTGTGGAATCCACAGCAACAGTTGTCTAAAAGAGGCTAGAACTGAAAGGCTGCCTTCTCCAAAGGGGTCTCTACGGAGCGCCTGGCTTGATGCTAAGCACTTACAGGACTTGTTCCTCCCAAAAGTTCTGGAGTGACATCTGTGGGCATTCCCGTCATGAGGAGAAGAGAAAGCCAACATGGAAGTAGTCAGTGAGTGTCCATGCTGCAGAGCACTGGGTAAAATAGCAGTATTTGGTCGGGTGGTGGTGACACACACCTTTAATCCCAGCACTTGGGAGGCAGAGGCAGGTGGATTTCAGTTCAAGGCCAGCCTGGTCTACAGAATGAGTTCCAGGATAGCCAAAAAAAAACCCCAAAAAACAAAAAACAAATAAAACAACAACAACAACAAAAACCCAAGCACAGCAGTATTCAACAACCATGGTGATCCACACTGGGATCCTACCTCTGGGGAGGCTGAGGCAAGAGGACTGGGGCTTCAAGACTAGCCTAAGCTGCATAGTAAGCCCTATCTTAATAAACAAACAAACAAACAAATAAATAAATAGATGAGGGCTAGAGATGTAGCTCCAGTGGAAGAGCACTTACCTGAGTAAGTGAGCTCGATGCAACACTGACAAATTAAATAATAAACACATACATAAACAGTGGCTTACAAAACTGATGATAGAGCATTCGTGCTCATATTTTTCACACTAGCCTCAAAGAGAAGAAAATACTCCTAATTTTTAAAATGGGGAAACTGATACTTCCAAGTATTGAGCAAGGCCAGCAAAATGGTGTAGCAGCTAAGGACACTTGCTGCCACGTTCAGTCCCTGGAACCCACATGGTAGAAGGAGAGAACTCTCTCCAGCAAGTTGTTCTCTGACCTCCACAAATACACGCCGTGCGCATGCACACAGACACACACACACACACACACACACACACACACACACACACACACACACTGTAAAACCCTACACATACTGGATACAGTGGTTACTTTTCTCATCTCTATGACTGAATATCTAACAGAAGCACTATAAGGAAGAGGAACATATCTGAGTTTATTTTGGCTCACGATTCGTGGGATTAAGTCTATCACAGCTGGAAAGGCATGGGGGCCGGAACAGCCTGGTCCATGAATCCCACACAGCGCTGACTTCTCACATGGTACTGACTAGCAAACAATGTATAGCCCTCAATCCTACCCCTAGCGGGCTGCTACCTCTGTGGCTATGTCCTGGAGCCCTGTCACTTATCAGCTATAGAAATGACTCCCAAAACCTTATAGGGAAGGCAGTTCCCTCTGCATATGTTATTTTAGCATTATTTTGTTTATCTTGAGGATTATTTTGTTTATCTTGGGGATGACTTCAAAACTGATGATAGAGCATCAAAAACTTACAAAACTGATAATTTATGCTCATGTATTTCTTTTTCATACCAGACTTATCTGTAATATGCTTACAACTTCTTGGGAGTCTTAAATTATCACAAAATAAAAAAAATATAAACTAAACCAGATCTGTGATTTCTCAGATAGTTATCATTCCATTAAGCATCAGCCTTTTTTTTTTTTTTTTTTAATCTTGGCTGTCAGGAATCTCTAAATCAAGCTTCACAGTCATTCTAGAAAACCTTATGGCTTATGAATATACATTCTTCTGTTTCCCTGGCTTTTCCCCTGTGTCTTAACGCCATTTCATTGCACTTTGTTTTCAGTCCTGGGGTTGGAATTCAGGGCCTTGCACACACCAGACAAGAACCCTAAACTGAGATACATCTCCAGTCCTGTTGTATATATTTCTTGTAAGAGGCTTAGAAAACTTTGTGGAAAGAAATTCATTAACTAACAAATTGTCTCTTGGTTTTATCTTTTAATTACACTTTTTATTTACGGTGGGGCAGGGGGTGTGCCCAAACACATGTGGAAGGCAGAAGACAATGTGAGGAGTCAGTTCTCTCCTTCCCCCATGTAGATCTCGGGGATCAAACTCCGGTCCTGATCAAACTTGAGTCCTCAGGCTTAGGCAAGGCTAGCCCTTACCTGTTAGACCATCTCACCCCACCCCCACTCCCATGCAGGCATATGAGGTCTGAAGCACTTTCCTAGGGCCCATGTCTCTCTACTGGTCACCACTCCTTCCCTGCCCACTAAAAGCCTCTGCCCTGATGAGGAAGGGACCAGGCAGAGGATGCTCAGCAGGACTGGGGGACTGTGTCCCTCTGACAGGGCCAGGGCCAGACTGGTGGCTCTGATGTCCCTCTGAAGAGGGACCCAGAAAGAAGTTTCACTTTAGGAGGGTCCTTTTGTGACATGCTACAACAGACCTGTTATCACAGTTCCTCCACAGTGGACTCCATGACAGCAAGCCAGGCAGCTTCTGAGCCCCTACGCCCCCACAGGGCTGAGGGGCTCACACAGCCCCTGGGGTGTAGGCAAAAGAGGAGGTCAGAGTATCCAGCCAGGGATGGCTGAAGCAGAAACAGTCTAGGAATTCTGAAGGCAGGGTGTCTGTCATGTAGCCTGGCCCCCGTGCTGAGCTTCAGGTCCCTCACCTGAGGTGGTGACATTGTCGTTCACTCCCACTGTAGGTTGAGGGCCATCATCTCGGTGAATGTGACCAGCTTGCCTCCGGTACAAAGAGCTTGCTGGGCTCAGCAGAGCAGGTTCTTGTGATCTGAAGGAAGAGAGTTAGAGAGTGATGTTGTAGTGTGTGTTAGGATCTCTGTGTGGCTACTTGAAATCTCAGGAGAGCCACTGAAAGGACGCTGTGGTTGTAGTGACTCAGCCAGGCTTGAGGAGTGAGGGAGGTCTGGGCGGCGGGGTGTGTGTGTGTGTGTGTGTGTGTGTGTGTGTGTGTGTGTGTGTGTGTTTGGTTTCTCTGCAGCATCTCCTCCTGAAGGCTCCCTAACACTCTTCCCCTGCAGGTGTCTGCAGCAGCATCCTGCAAGTGGCCTGCCTACAGCCAGCGTCATCCTCTGCTTCCATGACGAGGCCTGGCCCACGCTCTTGAGAACTGTGCACAGCATCCTGGACACAGCACCCAGGGCCTTGCTGCAGGAGATCATCCTTGTAGATGACCTCAGCCAGCAAGGTAACTGAAGTTGGCTCCCGGATCACTGGGAGGGACTGGCCTTGGACCAGAAGGGAAGAGGGAAGGACCGGGGGAGGGGGAGTTCGAGCCCCTAGGCAAGGTTCCCCTAGATGCAGAACTTCGGGTGAAGAGGGAACATGTACTCCAGTGTGAGTAGTTCATTCCTGAAGGACTCCAGAGGAGATCAGTAAGGCAACAAAGAAGGACACAAAAGAGGAATCACCAACCAAGGAAGAGCCCTGGGACAGGGAACGCCCAGGACAGGGTAAACCCAAGAAGCCCCTGGGGAGGGTCACTTCAGTCTGATTCTGTTAGGGTTCTCTTCCCCAGGCCCCAACCCCCACACACCCTATTAGCCTCTCCCCAAGATGCAGTGTCTAAAGAAGGTAGTGAGTGGTCTTGACATGGGTGTTCACTCCCTCCTGGGTGCTGAGCAAAACCTACCTACTGTCCAGATGGGGAACTGAGGACCAAAGATGAGACATGACTGGAGCTGAGTCATGCTAAGTGGAGCAGAGTTGGGCCCAGAGTCCAGACTGTAGGGTGTGCTTGGGTACTGCCTGGGGCAGGAAGCTCAGACCAAGAAAAAATATCAAGAGAAGGCAGTGACAGAGAAGCCCTGGCCTGAACCCCAAGTGAGTGGGGCTCAGACTTCGGTTTCCTGAGCTCTAAAGACAGACTTGTTAAAACACTGAGTGTGGCTGTGTGGTGGAAGTGGGAAACTGTAATCCCAGCTACTGAGGAAGCTGAGGCAGGGGGTTCACAAGTTTGAGAAAGCCAGCCTGTACTATAGATGGAATTCAATGACAGCTTGGGCAATTTAAAAAGAACTTCTATAAAAAGTTTTAAAAATATGAGCCAGGTGTGGTAGCTCACACCTTGAATCCCACCCAGCACTCTGGAGGCAGAGACAATCAGATCTCTGTGAGTTCAAGGCCAACCTGGGCTACATATTGAGACCTCTAATGAACATGCCAAACCAGATGGGCAAAAGCCCATGAAGCCTTTATAGTCCACAAAGAACTATAGGCAATGGAGGAAACCTGGGAGCTGGAGAGGTGGTCCTCTGCAGGGAACAGTTCATCAGCTGGTTGTTCAGTGCCAGTCAGACCTGAAACATACATTCAAATAACATTATACAGATTCAACAGGTTGTTTTTAGAAATACATATGTATGTACAGATACATATATGTATGCAACAACAATTAGTGAAATAAGAGGAGGATGGGAAGGGATACATGGGAGGGAGAAATGTTGTGATTAAATTATAGTCTCAAAAAGAAAACAAATAAACAAACAAAGGGCTGTGTTACAGTTTAGTAGTAGAGCACTTGCCTATCCTGTGTGAAGCCCTGGGTTCCACCCCCAGTACCTTCACCGGATCACCCCGGAGTCTCTAGATCTGGGTTGTGCCCAGGTATCCATAGCTCTAACAAGCTGCCAGGTGAAGTTAGGCCATCATCCGATGGCCCACAGGAGTGTGTGTAACTCCTGGTCTAGTCTTTCCTTGGGGGTCAACGCCCTTCCATTCTTCCTCACCTCAGTGACATTTAGCAGCCCTGCTGGCTACAAAGGAAAGCAGAGGTGTTGTGCACAAAGCTGAGCCCCGCTGAGGCCTGCACAGCCCTTCTATAACAAAGGAGGATGGGAGGGAGGGGTGGAGCCTCTGTTGGTGCCTTTTGAGATTCTCCCATCTTGAATTTGCCAGCCTGGCCATCGCAGAGGGTCAGAGCAGCTCGAGGAACTGGAATTGTGTGGGGTTAGAAAGGCACATCTGGCCAGCGCTTGTTGATTCTGATGGGCAGGCAGTGGGCTGGGCTGGTTGGTAAAAGTATCTGAAGTCCCTTTGGGTCCCTGCTGGGGCAGAGTTCTCCGGAGAGCAGGCCTGTTGTCCCTTCCTGTCAGCTGATGAGCTGCATTGGTTCCTGCTGTGAATTCAAGCCCTGACTTCTCTCAGTGATGGAGTAGGACCTGAGAGTTGTAAGATGAAATAAACCTTTTCCTCCCCAAGTTGCTATTGGTCATTGTGTTTTATCACAATAGAAACCTAACTAAGACAGGTTTCCTCCCAAGTCCTCAGCTGCAGCCCTTCCCACCCGAGGGCATCTGGATCCTTGGCTAGCAGCTGAACCACAGCCTTTGCATCCTTCCAGAAGCCCACAGCTGGAAGCACCCCTGGTTTCTCATCCCCCTTCTCTTCTCAGACTCAGCCTGCCACAGGGATGAAACTTCCGAGACAACACCTCAGTTGGCTACCAGCTGCAGGTTCATGACCCTGTTCTTAACCCATTGTCCTCTGTCTTTGGACAGGTTCTCTGGATGAGAGCCGAAGCTGGGATGTAAGAGCAGGTGGTTTTTTGAGGTGTGTACTCTCATTTGGAGATCAGTTGCAAGATCTCTCTTCTTCTGACTTTCCACTCATGCCCCCTGGTGGTTAATAGAGAGAACTGTGCGCCATCCCAAACCTTAGTAACACATTGGAGGCTCAGAATCTGGTTCCCACTAGGGTTTCTAAGTGAGTGACCTCTGCAATGCTCATCACAGTCCTGTTTGATGTGGCATCCTTGACCCCCCCATTGACAGGACCCTGTCAATTCCAGAACAGCTGAAGTCTGCTCTCAGTGACTATGTGGCCAGGCTGGAGACCGTGAAGTTGCTCAGGAGCAACAAGAGGCTTGGCACCATCGGGGCCCGGATGCTGGGGGCCACCAGGGCCACAGGGGACGTGCTGGTCTTCATGGATGCCCACTGTGAGTGCCACCCTGGATGGCTGGAGCCCCTCCTCAGCAGAATAGCTGATGACAGGTAACTCCTTCCACCAGGGATCTGCAAAGTGGGAAGAGGGTGTGGGCGAGATACCCCGGCCCAGTCACTCTGAGAACGGAGCACCCACCCACCGTTTGAGAAGCGCCTTGGTCCCCACTAACTGCTGTCTATTCCTTGGGGTTTCCAGATGCTTGAGCCTTGTAGGAAATGTGAGGAGTTCCTATTGGAAGGGAGGCTGGAGAACAGCTTCTGCAAGGTCCAAATACAGCCGGTCCTGCTAAGCTGCACAGGAAGGGCAGCACATACCATGCTTGACATTAACCCGGACTTTGACACAGTTCACACCGAGACTGTAACACGTTGTGGGGGAACAAATTTCTAAACTAGCCTACACCACAGGTGACCCATGCCCAGGAAGAAGGCATTAAATTCCCCCAATCACTAGCTTTCTTGATAACTAACGTTCTTTGCTCCTCTGTAGTACACACAGTGCTCCTAATTTTCTAACTAAGCCAAGTCCCGGGGAATGTGGAGTTGAGAGGGCCTCACCACATCCCATAGGTCAGCCTTGCTTTGACCATCATCACGCTGTCTTCCCACTCCCTCTTGCTCTCCACTGCTTCCTGAGTCTGACCTGTCCATCATGCCCCTCAATGTGAATATCCTAACCAGAAAACCTAACCCTGGTAACCAGCTCACCTAGGAGTGTGGGGAGGGGCTCAGCTATTCACCACCCCTGCCACTCAAGCAGGCCTGAGACACAACAGGACCTCCTGGCCCCCAGCCAGATGGAGCTGTCAGCACCAGACCTCATGGTTCCTATTCTTGCACTCTGTGGCTTAAGTTGGGGGTAATCACACAGAAGAGAAAAATTTCTAAACCAAGACCCAGTTGGCCCAAAACACCATTTGGCCCAATTCCATGATGGACATGCTTTTGGCCTACATTCCAATAAGTAAAGGTATTGTGTGCTAAGTTTAGCACCAGACTGAGGGCAAGAAAAGTTCATCAAGCCTTCAGGGAGGCCATCTTTGATTCTGTTCCATGTACCAGTTCCCTCAAAATCCTGGAGCTCTTGCTGATCAGGTTTCTAGACCATTCCCTGTGTGTGATCCCCACCCTGGTGTAGCAGATGGGTGACTCGGGGTACCTTGGAGATCATTGTGCCCTGCTCATGATTTCACATTGCAAACCCGTTTGGGAACTAACTAACGTTGTTGTCTCATGTCCCGCTCTTCAATGACTCCCCTCCCTGCCCTGGGCAGTGGCTCAAGCAGGTGTCCCTGCTTTCTGCTTCTGTTTCTGGAGGAGGGAAACTGAGGCTCAGAGAGGTGAAATCGTGTGCAGAGTGTGAAGGACAGGCCTCTGGTCGGGCTGTCTGGTACCAACTGTGATCTCTTCTTAAGAACCCCTGTAGCCGTTCAGAGAGAAATGGCCTCCCTTGTTCTTTCCCTGGTGCTGGGACATGTTAAACACGGACGTCATCCTTCATGCCAGCGTCTTCCATGAGTGCCAGCTCAGAGCTCCGTTGTCTTCACTGTAGGTGGAGGCAGAGGGATGCAGCCGAGCCTCAGCAGTCCTTGGCTGTTAGACACGTGACACCCTCAGAAATTCCAGTAGCCTCTCTTCCACCCTTCATGTTGCCTGCCTGTCTCCCTCCCTCCCCTCCACCCCATCCCTGTGTGTGTGTGTGTGTGTGTGTGTTATGCCTGCCCCCAGAACCTCTGGTCTTGGGTGTTTGATGTGGCCTTCTCCTAACATGCCCGCTGCTCTGCTCTCTGGGATTCCACCATCTTTCTATCCTCTCACAGACTTTATGGCTCCTGGCCCCTCTCTTTCCTCTGGCCCACCTTGTCCAGGTCATTGAGAATCTGAAAGAAAGTCACCTCCTCAATCTGAGTGATCCTCTCTGGACTCTACACAGCGACACTGAGCACTGGGCAGGTCTAGGATCCCCTTTCCAATCTGTGTAGCTTCCTCGGGGATTTGGCCCATCAGCTCTTCTGAGCCTCCTGACTCCTGCTCACACCACACCACACCATACCACACCACACCACACACCACACCACACCACACCATACCACACCACACACCACACCACACCACACCACACCACACCACACCACACACCACACCACACCACACACCACACCACACCATACCACACCACACCACACACCACACCACACCACACCACACCACACCTTAGTGAAGTGAAGCTTCTCTGGCCTAAGTGCTGCTCTAGAGAGAAGGGGGGATGGGGCTGCTGCCTCTGAGCCTGGGTCGGAGACATTCTGTGGACCCAGTGTCTCCAAAGGAGGAAAAAAATCTCTAGGTGCTTCCATTACCCAGGTGCAGTGAGAGTCCAGAGGGGACAGGGTGGCAGCCTGCTTTGCAGAGCCATAGTTTCCCCACACCCTGGTCAAAGCATCTGGAGTCCATTACCAGCCCTGGTCCCCTGATCCTGACAATGACTAGCTCGGCCCCTAGCCATGTGGCAGCTTTGAAACGTTTATTGCTCAGCATCCTTTACTGCCCTCAGACATTTGTCATGGCGACTGGTTATGTTGTAAGAAGGCAGTTTTCTTTCCCAGTGTTACAGGTTTATTTATTTCATGTGTGTGTGTGTGTGTGTGTGCGCGCGCGCGTGCGCGCGTGTGCAACACAAGTGTGCTGTGACCACAGAGACCAGAAGAGGATGTCAGATCCTCTGGAGTTGAAATGAAGGCTCTTGTGAGCTCCTGACGTGGGTGATGGGAACTGAACCTGGATCCTCTGAAAGAGTCACAAGGAAGAGTCTTAGCTGAGTCCTCTCTCCAACCCTGGAGTAAGATGTTTCAGTGTCTTATTTTATTTAAGGAAATTATAAAAGTAAATATGCAATTTTACAGCATGTATAGTGTTTGAGGTGTTCTCTAGGGCTGAGTGGTGCACTATCCCTATAACTGTAGAAAACAACCCTACACAAAAAGCAGCTGGTTTTGCGTGGTCCTGGGATGCTGACCGATGGACGGCAGCTTCCTTATAAAACAGTAATGTGAAAGGCCGAGGGTATCTGCCATACCTCCCTTCTAGCTGCCTTGTGCTGTCCGCCAGCTCTAATGCCTAACCAGGAAGGCAGAGAAGCACACCTCTAAATAAGGGGACTTCTAAAGGAAAGGGGCGCTCTCTAGGAAGAGCTAAATGGCTGTCATCCCAAGTTGTTTCCCGCAACTGACTGCCCAGGGCCCTGTCTGAGGCGTATCAAGTTATATGCAGCTATAGTAGAGTGCCATACAGAAGACATGCAACACGGGCTACATGTTTAATTAAAACAGTCATGTTACAAAGTAAAAACAGCTGAAATTAATTTTAGTAGTGTAAACCCAGTATATCCAAAGTATAGTATCAGCATGTAATCAATATAAAATTTACTGAAAGTTTTTCATCCTTTTTCATATTAATTCTTCTAAATTGGGATTCTTACCTGAGACAAAGCACAGTTTCAAGGCTAACAGGTAGGAATGGCCTGCGGCTGCTGCACTGGGCCACACATTACACAGATCTTGTTTCTGTCCCTCAGCTAGTGAGTGGTCTGCATCGTAGTTTGACCCTCTGCTCTTTCCAGGAGCCGAGTGGTGTCTCCAGTCATAGACGTGATTGACTGGAAGACACTTCAGTACTCTCCAGTCAAGGAGCCGCAGCGAGGGGTGCTGGACTGGAAGTTGGATTTCCGATGGGAGCCCCTGGGGGAGCAGGAGCAGAAGGGCCGCCCATCCCCCATCAGCCCTATCAGGTGAGCCCTGCCACAGCCTGCCCTTCCCTGAGCTCCACACGGGACAGCAAGCCATGTCACCTGAGTCCCAGTTTCCTGATGACAGTGCCTAGCACACGGGGTGGGTATGGAAACCAAATAAGCCGATGTGTAAAAAGCATTCAGCCAGCTGCAGTGCTTCCATCATCGTGATATCAATGAAGTCCAGTGAAGAGAGCCAGGGAAGCTGTCTTGCAGAAGATTCTGTCCAGGGTAAGAATGAGGAAGAAGCTGAGCTGACCTTGACCCCAGATAACACAACTCCTTGGTCTCAGGTTCCTGCTCAGTGAGAAGGAAGACTTAGCTGGCCGAACACTGTGACACCATAATTCTCAAAATAGATAACAGCTTTGAAAGTTGCTACTCCCGTGTTTGGTTTCTGAACAATTATTTAAGTAGGTTTTTTAATTAGAAATTTTCTGCCGGATAACAAGCCATTTCAAATTTAGTGTGTAAAACAACAGCTATTCTCCAAGCTCACAGACTATATGGGTCATGAGTTCTGGAATGGCTCAGCCAGGCTGACCGTCTCTACTTCACTGTGCCAGGATACATACAGATTAAATTCCCAACATCATGACGACGGAAATCCAGGGTAGCCAGCTCCTAAAACCACCTATTTCCCTGATACGCTAAGCTGGATGGCTGGTCCACATCCACAGTCCACAACTGATAACCACAAAACCCAAAGCCCTCTGAAAACCTCGTTTATTGTCATAATGCAGTGGGCAGCAGATGTGTACCTGAGGGACATGGTGCCTGAGCCCACTCTGAGTAGTTACATGCTGACTGAAGAAGTTTCTGTGCACCCCACTAAAGGATGTAGTGACCAAAGCTGACAGGCAGTATGTCATGGAGGTCCCTTTCTAAAATCCAAAAATTCTGAATTAAAACAGTCACCAGGAGTCAGGTGTTGGTGCACACCTGATATCAAGAGTTTAAGGCCAGTCTGTGCTGCACAGTGAGACCTTGTCTCAAAAAACAAAACAGAAAAGACAAACAAGCAACAACAACAAAGAAAAACAGCAGCACTATGAATTTCAGAGAGGAATAGTGAACTCAGATCTGTTCAGCTTTGTATTTCAAACACGGCAAGTATGATGCCTCGACAGTATGTAACTCTTTATTTCAATCCCCACAAACCACAACTGTGAACTGTTTTGTTTGTTTGTTTGTTTCGTTTTTTTGTTGTTTTGTGGATGGTTGTTTTATCCCAGTTAGAGGTGAGGAAATCAAATGGAGAGAGGTAACATATCTTGGGTCCTCTGGAAGAGCAGCAAGCACTCGTAACTGTTGAAACATCTCTCCAGCTCCCAGTTCTCTTGATAAAATTCTTGGATTCCGGTCTTGTGGATCAAAATGTTGAGCTCCCCCAGAGCCTGGAGTTGGCAGGCTCCCTGGCTGGCCCTGCCTCTGGGAAGCCCCACCCAGCCTGTTTCTGAGTTTGGGGTTGCACTGTAGTCTCTCACGTGACTTCTCTGTGCAGGAGCCCTGTGGTACCCGGAGAGGTGGTGGCCGTGGACAGACATTACTTCCAAAACACCGGAGCTTATGATCCTCTCATGTCACTACAGGGTAGTGAAAATCTTGAGATGTCCTTCAAGGTAGGTTCTATGTCAACAGTGAACATGGTGGTATCTCTGGAGTCATGTATGTATGTATGTATGTATGTATGTATGTATGTATGTATGTAGTCTGCTCAGAGGCAGACATTAGAAAGGGCAGATGTTGGGAATAAACTTGTGGGTAAATTATATAAAGTCATTGCAACAAGATAAGTCAAGCCTCCCGTCTCCTCCCAGGCCATGTCTCTGGTGAGCTACCTTGACTTTACTCTCAGCCTCCTCTGTGAACTTGACTTTCAAGATCCTCATCAGGAGAAGATGTACTATCAGTCATTCACATCTCAGTGAAGGCAATCCAGAGCTTCTGGCACGTTCTCCGTTCGTGGTACCCTTAGCATCTAGGGGATCTTTTACAGCCAGATGTGAAACCATTCTTGGCACTGAGTAGTTCCATCCAAACAATGGGTATTCTCTTGGTTTAGGACCTGCTGGCCTTAGCTGGCCTCTCCATCCTGGGAACCATGTGAGCAGCCACCACCCACACTTTCTCTTCCACACAGGTTCTAGCATTGTACTTGCCTTTCGGTCACACCCACTGCCCCAAACCCAACCCAGCAAAGTTGTCTACCATCTAACACGGGCAGACCAATCTAATGCGGATGTGGGAATTACATCAAGCTTGTAGTTGGCACAATGTCCAAGTTTGCTATTTCTCTAAAAAAAAATGGAAGATGCCTGCAGTGCTGTCTGAGTCCTCTGAGGTATCTTGGGGAGTAGGGTTTGAGAACCCCATGCCCAGCGTGTTTTTAGTTCTTGAACCACAGCCTGTTGTAGCACTATTCAATTGTAATTTCTGTCACCAGGTATAGAATGAAGGGTTCTTGACAGTGAGCAGTGGGGACCTGGGAGAAGCTTCTGGAAGGAGTGAAGAAGGCTAAGGGAGCTGTGCTTTCATCTCTAGTGTCTTTGCAGGAGACATCACAGTGTTTTAGAAATTCCCTAGCCACTGCCGACATATTTTCCCTGGGAAAACATCCTCTGTTGTGTGTGTGCGGAGCTGACCCTGCGTTTCTTTGTGTGCTAACTCTGCACATGTTTCCAGGCGGCATGTTCAGGAAGGTGCATGGGTGTCAGCCATCACCCCTCAATTCCACCCTGGGACAACTGCCCTCTGTCCCTCCCCCTTGCTGCCCTGCTGCCCACACTCTTGGATGGAGGAACTGCAATCTGGGGATCTGAACTGGTCATTCTGGCTTCCGACTTCCTGGTTTTCTGCCAGCTGCTCACAGACAGGGAAGTAGAAGAAAGAGCCATTCACCTTCTCCTTCTGTGACAGGCCTGGCTTTGTGGTGGCTCCGTTGAAATCCTTCCCTGCTCTCGAGTGGGACACATCTACCAAAGCCAAGATGCCAGCTCCAGGACTGACCCTGAGGTCATTCTGAGGAACAAGGTCCGAATTGCTGAGACCTGGCTGGGGTCCTTCAAAGAAACCTTCTACAGGCACATCCCAGAGGCCTTTGCCCAGAGCAAGGTAAGGATGGGCTACTAGGGGTCTTTGACCAACATAAGGTCGCCAGGTTAAGGTCGGCCAAGAAGAACCCTCTCCCTTCTTTCTGGTTTGAGCTTGCTTGAGTTGGCCCTCTGGAGTGACCTTTCTACCTGGTGGGGCTGTCCTCTGTCTCTCTCATCACCTCCCTGGAGTACCACAGTTGACCTTGGCCTGGAATTCCCAGACTGCTATGGTATTCTGTGAATGGGAGGCAACCTTTCCCCACAAGGCCAGAGGGGAGGTGGGTCCAGATAGGGGATGAGTCACATCTCTGAGCGTTCTTTCATCCTGAGTGGCGATCAAGGGTTAAGGAATATCCAAGACAAAGAACAGATCTGAGTATAAAAATAAATATGAAGACTCAAAAAAGCCAGAGAAAAGTTGAAATTTTAAATGGGTAGTTAAATGTCCCCCAGTTCACTATTGGTCGGTCAGTTCCTGTGCAGTGACACACGCGTGATAATGAGCCACAGGCTGCCATTACACTCTCTGCACTTCAAGTAGGGTCCCAAAAGAGTAGCACAGTTGGGAAACTGTTCCTGCAAGTCCCTCAGCAGCCCACTGCTGGATAGCATAGACAAAGGCAAGGTCCTTAGAGAGACACACCCATGCCCACTACATGCAGGGAAGTCAGACAAGAGTGAGGCGTGCAGGAGCCCCAGTACTCCCTTTTCTTGAAGTCCTCAGGATTTTGTTTTTCTTTATCCAGACCCACCTGCTTCCTACAGCAGGCTGACCTACAGACAAGTCTCAGAACTCATTGTCTATCTGTTTGTCTCTTTAATGGGAGATGACAATCAAAATTTCAGTTCAATTCCAAGGCCTGGGTAGCTAGAGTTCTCTCTGGGCCACCCTCAGTGACTCCAAGCATCACCCAAAGCAGCATCTGCTCTCTTTGCACACAGGAGCGACCCCACGACTGTAGCTTCTGGTTGGGTTTGTATTGGAGATGGAAGGGAAGTTCTCACCAGGACTCCACTGAATCCTAAATCTGACATCCCAGAAGTACTCCTCAGAAAAGGCAGTACTTCAACTATGGCTGCATGGGGTCACTCAGACACCAGAGGAGGGCTTGGAGGAAGATGCTGAGGCCTCTGAGGGTTGAGCTAAAGAGTTTAGGCTTTACCCACTTGACAGTGGGGAGTAGGTACCCTTCTACAGAGTTCTATAAGGTACCGCAGAGCTGCTGCAGTTTTGATCCCTGGGCTGTCTTTAGGCTGGAGCATCACTGGTGTGTTTGTTTTTGTTTGTTTGTTTTTGTTTTTGTTTTTTCCTTTCATGTAATAGATGTCTATTACTAAATTTTCTCTTCGCTTTCAGAGGACACTTGTTTAATATCAATACAGACTTCATTTATAAAGAATCCATTAAAAAGAGTTAAATATATCCAGGCTTCTGATGTACCTAGCCAACCTTCCACTAGACAGGCTCATTAGAACCCAGCATGCCGGATGAGGCCAGCCTAATACAGCATGTATTTACAGCCTGCTTGGCCCCACTATGTCTTACTAAAAACCAGGACCACCAAGGCAGAACACTGACATGATCATCAGCCCCTCTCTTTTTTATTTCCCCTTTCCCATTCCCTCCTTCCTCCTTTCCCACACCCCTCTCTCCATATTTGATTATTTCAACCCCTCCTCAAAGCTTCTCTCTCCCAGGAAATTTGTACTCACCTTCTAGATGGGTTTCTTCATATCTTACCAACACAGCCTAAATCATTAGACTAGTGTTGAGGGCCGGTGTCCACCCTCCTACAGCTGTTTATAAAGGGAGAGGCCAGTGTAGCCTGAATGAACGGTTCATCGATGGAGAAAGCGGACACTCAGGGAGGAAGAAAAACCAGCCTGCCTTTCCTCAGCCTCCACCCTTGCAATTTCCCAACTTACTTCGCCTCCACTACCCCGGGCCAGCTCATGGTACATCCCAGGTACAGAGCCCATCATTTCTTCACATTCCAGAGAAAAGACTTTAAGGCATAGACACCATGGTCTTCGTAGGCTGAAGATTTGGGGGTCTGTGAGAAGAGGTATACTGCTTCCAATCTCTCTGGTTCCATGCCTCTCTCTAGAGAGGTTACTGACTCCGTACCTTCTAAACCTCTCTCAGCATCCGAGCTTTCCTCCTGTTGCAATCCTGTCCTGATCCTTCTGCCTCTTCACATCTACCTCTATTCTTCCCCTACTTTGTGGGTTTTGGGGGAAATACGCTTTCCTGTCTTCACTCCCCATGTCCTTCTCCAACGGCAGGTTGCGAAGCCAGACTGCACAGAACGCCTGAAGCTGCAAAGGAGGCTGGGTTGTCGGACGTTCCACTGGTTTCTGGCCAATGTCTACCCTGAGCTGTATCCATCTGAGCACAGACCCAGGTTCTCTGGAAAGGCAAGGCATGGCCCAGGGGAGGTGGGAAAGAAAGGAGAGAGAGGGTCACTTGCCAAGACAAGAATGTTCGTCCCTTACACTGGGCAACCAGGCTCAGCAGGGTTTCAGAGGCCTTTGGACTCCCCATCTCTGCCTCCCTGCCAGCCAGGGGAAAGCAGCAGTGTTACCCTGTAATCCATGCCAGATCCCTTCACCAAAATGTGTGTGGCCTGACTCCGCCTGAAGGCTTGTGTCTTAAGATAACTAATTTGGGCTTGACCCAGTTCACTGTGACTGAACCACACACTTTGGGATAAGGTCTAAAGAGGACAGAGGGTTAGAATCTGCTCCATGGCATCTTCACAGTGGAGGTCAGATTCACATCTTTGTGGATGTTCACTTTCAGCTCCACAACACTGGACTTGGCTTCTGTGCAGACTGCCAAGCAGAAGGGGACATCCTGGGCTGCCCCATGACATTGGCCCCTTGCAGTAACAACCGGCAGCAACAGGTGGGTGATGATGCTTCGCTGGGAGTGGGTGCAGTTTCCTAGGGTACTCTTCAATTCCCTTCAGAGTAGCTCCTCTCTGTGGTCCCATGTCCATGACAGGCTGTGGTCTCCCACTGTGATGACTTGTCACAGGTCTGCCCACATCATCCTCACTTTAGATCCGGACCAGCATCAAAGAACAGAGCATCTCAGTTATAAGGAAGGACGAGGCTACTTAGCCAGCCCTTGAATCTGGCAGAGGAAGAAACTGTCATAGAACCACCAACCCAGGAATGTCCACCTTAGATCCTCCAGGCTTGAGGAAGGGTCCAAGGGTCTGAGTAGAAAAGAGTTAATGGAGTCGGGAGAAGGGTCTAGAGTCACATGGACTCTTTGGCCATTAGGAAGGTCACTGTGATCCTTGGAGTATGTCTTATTTGCTTCAATTTTTCATCATAGGAAAAACTGAGCAAGGTAACAGAAAGCTGTCCATCCTGGCTGAGAGGTCATGGGTCCACTTCTTTTCAGAACCTGAATAACTCCTCAGTGTAGACTGGCCCCAGATCTGATTCAGACTGTCATGGGGGGGGGGGGGGGTCCTTTGAATTGAGCTGTCGTACTTCAAAGTTACCTAATGAAAGCAAACAACAGTTAAGTGAGACCCAGAGAGCCCGAGGAGAAGGGGGAAGCATCTCCATGGGAAGTTTGGGGTCCAGCCTTGCAGTGCCAGCCTAGAGAGGTGGGGACAGGCTCAGGGCCTGGACAGAACATAGGGAAGGAGCTGGCTCAGGATTCACTTGGTCTCTTCCATCTGTGAACCTCACCATTCTTTCCTAAAATACCAGTGGGCATTCACACCAGATACATCAGTGAGCTTTCACATCCCTAGGCTCTAAATACCTGACAGAAACAAGGGAGGAAAGGTTTTGTTGCTGTTGTTGTGGTTTTGTTGGTGGTGGTGTATTTTTTTTAGCTCATGGTCTCAGGAGAATTTCAGTTTACCGTGAGAAGGGCATGGCCCTGGAAGTGACTTGGTCCATGGTGGCAGAAGTATGAGACATTTGGTAGCTTGCTCACATGGTGCAGACTAAAGAGCAGAGAAAGCAAGCCAGGTGCACATATCCCTCAGAGGCTTGCCTCTAGTGATCTGCTTCCAGCAGTCAGGTCCCACCTCCTAAGGGCCCCCCCCCCTCCCCCCCCCCAGCCTTCAAAACAGGGCCATAAGCTGGGGCATGTGAAGCATTAGCCCATGGAGGATGCTTCATGTTTAACCCATAGCACTAGACACAAGAGATGAGCACATAAAGAGCCAAGTGTGGAAGTCACATATTAGGGTGACAGCTGTTACCATCTCGACCGCCATCCAGAGCTAGGTTTGAATCAAGTTCCCACTGGCTGGCTGTGAGATCTTAGCAGGCTTTTTATCATCTGAGTCTCGGTTTCTTTGTGTGCTATGGGCTTCCTTTAGACAAAGAGAATATTTGTTCTGTGTATTTTTTTTTTTTTATTAGTGAGGTCTTCTGGAGCCTGCAATATTAGAAAGTCAATAAGCTGACTCTCTCGCCAAGGGGGGCAGGGAGGGGACGACTAGATATGTGCTGGATAAAAAGAACATAAAATGCCCCTTTCCATGCACAGATCATTGAGTTTGCAAGAAAGAAAGGAAATAAATATCCAAGAACTAAAACTCAAGTGGCAAATGAAAACAGAGCCATTTGTGTGAGCTGGGTTTCCTTGAGAGGTGACAGGGTCCAGTGGCCACCTCCCTCTGGAGCTCAGCAGCGTGGCTGCAGGCAGGGAGAAGCAAGGAGGGCCCGGCTTCAGTTCACGAGAGATGAGGTTTGGACTGAGACTTTGTATTACCCGGCTTTGACCATTATAGGGTAGCCCGTGCTTGCAAAGCTGTGCTAAAACTATCTCCCCATGACCACAAGTGCTGTGGGATGTTCTGTTTGGCAAATGTGTTGCTGATTAGTCAATAAATAAAACACTGATTGGCCATTGGCTAGGCAGGAAGTGTAGGCGGGACAAGGAGGAGAATAAAGCTGGGAAGTGGAAGGCTGAGTCAGAGAGACACTGCCAGCCGCCAGGATGACAAGCAGCATATGAAGATGCCGGTAAGCCACGAGCCATGTGGCAAGGTATAGATTAATGGAAATGGATTAATTTAAGCTGTAAGAACAGTTAGCAAGAAGCCTGCCACGGCCATACAGTTTGTAAGCAATATAAGTCTCTGTGTTTGCTTGGTTGGGTCTGAGTGGCTGTGGGACTGGCAGGTGAGAGAGATTTGTCCTGACTGTGGGCCAGGCAGGAAAACTCTAGCAACACACAAGGAAACAAGAAGGAAGTCATTTGTCACTACAGATGGGATTTTGAGTAGGAAAAAATTTACTCTCCCTTGAGAGTCGCCCACAAGCCTCTGAGATGTGCTTAGGGTTCAAATTTATGCTAACTGTGCTGTTTGGGAATTGTCAAGTACGGAAGACCACTATATTTAATTTGCAAATTAGCAGGGCCTAATGCAAATTGAAGATGTGATGTCTCTAATTCGGCAGTTATTATGAATTTCAAGACAGTGGCAGCAATGCTTAAAGTGAATAGATTGAACCAAGAGCATGAAACCGTTCTGAACACAGGGCTCACATGACTGAGCAGGCTGCACATCCATGATGCCCTTGCTGTCTCAGAGCCCACAGTTAACATAAAAATCAGTTCGGACTGCATCCGGCAAGAACAAACAGAAGATAGCTTTGCCAAAACATGCCATCCAATTGGTAAGCCTCACAGTTAAAGCCCCTGTGTAAAGGTCCACACAGTTCAGCTCTCTAAAATCCTGGAGGCAATGGGGACCATGACCAAGAGTCCGCAGACACCACAGACAGCAGGGAAATTAGCGACAGCGAAGATGTCTCTAGAAGGAAATCAACCTGGGCCTCAGGGATCCCTCACATGCCCTTCCAGCAGTGCGCACTTAGTACTTGCAGCCTTTTAAAACAGCCTTATCTGCATACAGACAATAGCAGGTATGCCACAGATGCATGCCAGGATGTGGAAACAGGACCGTGAGAAAGCCCAAGGTGCTGGGACTTCAGAACCCAGGAAGGGTCTTGCTGGCTGCCCCTGTGGAATCTGAAGAATGCAGCTCTGCTGTGTGTTCCTTTGTCTCCTCTGGAGAGGGTGTCTTTGGGACTATGCTAACTGCCACCCCCTCTACCCCAGAACCTGCAGCACACCAGCAGGAAGGAGATTCTCTTTGGCAGCCCACAGCGGTTGTGCTTCGACATCAGAGGAGAACAGGTGATTCTGCAGAACTGCACAGAGGAAGGCCCTACCATCCATCAACAGCACTGGGAACTCCAGGAGGTAATTAATCCATTCCGGAAATGCTGATCACAAGGAACTTCCAGGCAGCTGACCTTGTTAGCGTGGCAGCCTGGGTTCTTCCAGGACATCAGGTACTCTCCATGACAGTTCTTCTGTTGTTAAGCTTAATGGCTTGACACTGGGATCTCTGGTGGAAGTAAAATCAACCCAGCCTATGGAGGTGTCCTAATTTGTCACTACACCTTGACAGGTCATTAGCTTGGACCACAGGTAGGATGGTGTGTTATGCCCAGATCACAGGGACCCCCAAAAGACCACCATGGAGACCGAATCCCGCATGTAAAAGCAAAGAGCCTTTATTTTAAGCTCCGGAGCTTGGTCCCTCTGTCTGTCTGACACAGGGGTGAGAGCAGAGAGCCCTGAACTCAGGTGGGGCAGAGTTTTTATCATAGCAGAGTTTGTGGTGAGGGGATTTCCAGGGACCAGGACCCTGATTGGCTGACAACTGTCTAGGGGTATCTGTAAAACAAAAAATAGGTGTGTGCTAGACTCAAAGACATCTGGGCTACCTTACCTAATGGTTGGAATGTTTGGGATGCCAGGTACTTCCTCACCCCTGGGTAGGTCCCTGGGTGGTATCAGCTTAATGCTTTTCCTGGATCTGGGTGTTGCCTGCCAGTAAGCCTGTCACAGAAGCTGTGTCTGGGCCTCTAAGCCTGTCATGGCTGCTATGTGGTCAAGCTATTTTGGGGCCCCTTCACAGGTGGAGCATGTTACAAAACAATTGGATCACAGGTGGGATGGTGGAGCATGTTACAGAAGCAATCACTGGTGGTGTAGATTGAGGAGTGATGCAAAGCAAAATTTAAAAGAAGTAGATATTGATATATAAATATGTAGCTGTTGGGGCTGGAGAGATGGCTTAGTCAATTCCTAGCACCCACTTGGAGGCAAGCAAACTCCAGTTCAAGCAGATCCAACACCCTCTTCTGGCCTCTGCTGGCACTTCATGCTAATGGTGCACAGATTAACACTCAGACATCCATACACATAAAATAAAAATCAATCAATATTTTTAAAGTTAAAAATATAAATATGTGGCTGTCATTTTCTTCATTATAATGAATGTTCCATTGTGAACATTTCGTCATTTCTGTATATTTCCTGTAAGGAAGTTCTAGAACCTTCCCAGAGGACACACACCAACAGAGAGAAAATAGGGGGACTTAAGTACTTAGGGTGAATGAGCTAGCCCCAGGTACAAAATTGGGAAAGGACCAGTACTGCAGCATGACTGTGGACTTGACCATGAGACAATGCAACAGAACAATCAGGAGATGGTTCCAGAACCTCAGTTCTGCTATGAGTCCCTCTTATTCTGTTCTGGTGAGGGTCTCTTTGGCCACCATCCCTCAGTCTCAGCACCAACATCACTGTAACTGGAGTTTTCTCCAGTCCCACTCAGACTTGCAGCCACTCAGACTCAAATAAACACACAGACACTTATATTATTTAAACTTTTTAGCCTAATGGCTCAGGCTTCTTGCTAGCTAGATCCTACATCTTAAATTAACCCATTTCTATAAATCTATACCTTGCCACGTGCCTCGTGGCTTACTGGTATTTTACATGTTGCTACTCCTTCAGCTTTTTACTTCCCAGACTCCTCCTCTCTCTTTGTCCCGCCTATACTTCCTGCCTGGCTACTGGCCAATTAGCACTTTATTTATTAACCAATCAGAGCATACAGAACATCCCACAACAGGTCACCATATCTGCAATATGTGTCCATACAGTTTCCTCCATTTGCATCCTTCCTGAGCTGATTCAGTGTACCACTAAGAAATAGATAGACTCATTTACAGTTTTTCTTCTCTTCAAATTCTGATTGGGAGTAAAGAGGGTAAAATTAGTAGAACTCTGTACAGGTGACTCATAGAGCAGAGAAGAGGAAAATCTCATCATGGAAAATTTAAGCTGAATTTTCAACAAGCAACCAAAACCAAAAGATCAGTAAGACACACATGGCCTATTTCCAGGCATTAAGAAATGAGATGTGAGCCGGGTAGTGGTGGCCCATGCCTTTATTCCCAAAACTGGGGAGGCAGAGACAGGTGGATCTCTGTGAGTTTGAGGCCAGCCTGGTCTACAGAGTGAGTTTCAGGATAGCCAAGGCTACACAAAGAAACCTTGTCTTGAAAAAATTAAAGGAAAAGAAATGAAATGAGACTGGAACTTTAGTCCAGTGATCTAAAGCAATTGCCCATTGAATGTAAGGCCCTGGGGCCAGTGTCCAGATGCGTAAGGAGGAATATCTATGAAAGGTATCGTTCAGCCAGAAAAAGAATGAGACACTATTTTGATTTATAATATAAAAGCATTGAAGGCAATCTGAACATCTATCTATAGCTAAATGGAAAACATGGACATACAACTATCCTAAAGCTTTTCACTTAGAATTACTTACTTTCTAGAATTAATTCTACGTCATGAAATATTACTTAGCCTTAAAGTAGAAGGAAGTCCTGTCATTGGTACAAAAGTGACCCCTGAGGCCATTAAACTAGGTTAAATAACACACACACATAAACATATCCCAAAACTGTATCATCTCACTTAATGCATTTTATGTAAAGCAGTTAAAGCCATAGATGCAAAGTGGTTACTAGTGGCTGGGGAAAAAAGAAAGGGGAATTATTGTTTAATGAGTAGAGAGTATCTTTTTTACAATAAAAAAGTTATGGAAAACTAATATATTCAACTTTTCTAAACTTTATAGTTGAAAATGCTTTAAAAGTGCCACATTTTGGTGTGTTTTTACCACAGTAAAAAGAAAAAAAAAAGGAAATGACTTACTAGTTTTTACTACAACATGAATAAATCTGAAAAACATGCAAAATGAAAGAGGCTAGTTATAAAGGGACCATACTACACAATTCTATTTATATGAAATGTTTAGAATACTGAGTGCATGACCACAGAAAGGAGAGTAGTGATTCTGGGTGGCCAGAAGAAGGGAGGAAGAGCAAATGACTGCTAATGGGTAGTGATGTCTTTGGGAAGTGATGGAAATGTTCTGGAATATACTAAAGACAACCAGTTTGTGTATTGAAGCAGTATGTATTTTGGAATGTCTCAATAATGAGCAGGAATTTATAACATTATGGCTAAAGATGTTTAATTTTGTAAAGAAATCGGATTTTTCTTGTAAGGGGATGTTATGGTCAGTATTGAAACTGGTGGAGTCCAGTCATACCTTTCATAGGGCTGATCTGATTAGATCTTCAGGATAGCCTCTCAGTCTTACTCTCTACTGCATCCTAGTGGTCACAATTTCAAATTGCAGGATTAGCAGAGGGTGGCACTAATGAAACCCTTCTGAAAGCAGAGATTCCTGAATGCAGTGATAATAGTGATTCTGACAATACATCACAAAGAGTGAACACACCCTATCCAGGGTTACCTGACTAGAACTTTCCAAGAAATGACATCAGCAATACAAATAATTGGGTTTATGACTCCTTAGGGTTGAATGACATCCAAATTTTAGGGTAATTTAAATTATATTTTCTATTAACTAAAAATCCAACCATTCTTTCCAGGCTAATTCCTATCACCTCTGTGAGTCTTTTAGTGCTCAGCAGAAATCTTAAAAATGTCCTCCTTTGCTGACTTTGTCAGGAATTGGCTCCTTCTTTCTCTTTTCAGGATGGAATGATCATCCACATTCTTTCTGGGAAATGCATGGACGCTGGGGTTGAACCAGACAATATGGATCTGCACTTGAGTCAATGTGATGGTAGAAGCAGCCAGCTGTGGCGATTTGACCAGGTCCACCCTGTGGATGAACGATGAGTAACAGTAATGAAGAGCAAGACAAACACTGAGCATCACCTTTCTGCTCCTGTGTGTCCCGAGCCAGTCCCCTGCGCCTGGGCTTCTGGTGTAGGAGAGAAGAAAGTGCCATAAAAGAAAGCATAGAAAATCTCTCCATGTACCTTATGGCATTGATTGTTGGCTGTTATTTAGAAAGAAAAGCAATGGCTTCATTGTCTTCATCACCAGACATAATTGTCATGAAGTAATGCAGAGTCTTTTCTTTCCCTACTGAGCATTAACACTTGCTTTTATCCCTGACTGGGGAAAGAGGCATAGGCATTGTCTGACAGCACTTTCAGGAGACATCAAATGCAATAGATAAAGTTCTTCAATCTCACTCAGCACTTACTCGGATGCTGTATGTGTCCAGTCATGAAAGTTAGAGCACAGTGTATTTAATGGCCTGGCAGTCCCAACATTTTGATTAGGCTTGCTAGAATATGTTTTGTATTCATTCATTGAACCCTAGCTCAACAGGAAGCAGAAGGGAATGGGGTGGGGATGGGAAGAAGAAGGAGGAAGAGAGATTTGTCCCCACTCTTCAGCTCAGGTTGGCCCACAGAAGAGTCAAACGGACCTAGGTAAGATGTTTTCATCTTCAGGCTAGTTCTCTTGAAACTCTCTACCTCCATTCACCTGCTCTAGCCTTCTCTGGCTTAGTTACCCACAAGCAGATTTCCTCTCAATGTAGCCCTTCTTCAGTCACTAGTTCTGGAAGGATCAACACATCTGCGCATTCTCATGAACAAAGATATCAGGGTAGATAAACTCTCGTAATGCCCTACTAGGAGAGCTGTGCTGGCTTGACAAGATATAACAACGTTTGAAAAGGGGCAACCCTCTCTTGAGGGGAATGCCAGCATCAGAGCCCAAATCCTTACAAAGCAAAATAGATTTGGTTATTAAATGTTTCTAATGCTTACCAGGGCCATCTATGAACCCACAAAGATTGTCAGGGGCCCCCTAAATTTGGCTTCCGGTTAAACGCTCACAGTTGAGGGAAATCCGCCTCAAGCAGAGCAGAACTAAGGCACAGCCACAAGGGCTGCTGAGTGAGTTAGGATGTGGTTGAGGAAAAAACAAAAAAAACATTCTTGCTCATTTCTCTCTGGATGGAATTAGCTCTCTATATGGTAAACTTAGAAACTTTGCATTAAAGATGCCTTTGATCTTTGGGCTATTGTTTTAAATAAGAACTGGGGAATAAGTTTGTGTTCCTAAAACATCCGACATAATATGTACTCCTTCTCCAACTTCCATGTCAATGCCCACTGTGTTTCTCCCGCCTTAGAATCGCTCTAGACTAACGCTATCCAATATGATGACCACAAACCCAGTGTGGCCATTTTGATGGAAATTCACTACAATTCAGGAAATTTTCAAACTGTTCCTTGATTATACTGGCTACATTTCAAGAGTTCAGTAGTCACCTGTGGCTAATGGCTACCGAACCTGATAACACAGTTCTGAAATATCCCACCGACACAAACAGTATTACTGAATAGCACTAGCTAGACCCATTCCTGTGTAGGGAAGAGATTTTAGCCGCCATCTTCTTACTTCAGATCTGTCTGTATTTAAAACAAATTCTTCTAACATGTTGAGGCAGGGACGGATCTTAAAATTTTCAAATGACCACCTTGTAAAGGGCAGTAATGATTGAAGAACAAACATTTTTAAAGATCTCTATTCTGAAATGAACTCTGTTATTAGCATTGTGAGTATTTGAAGCTGTTGGGATAAATTAATATAGTTAAACAAAAGACTAGATTTTGTTGTGTGAGTTGTACTTCATGGTGATTAACAAAAGGACCCAGATGGCTTATTGGTTAATTGTTCTAACAAAAAAGAATGTGGTATTTCTTGCTTCTTTTACTATCCCCATGATTCATTATTTTATTACAGGAATGGTTGTCAACTCAGTCCCTGGCTGGTACTTACAGAACCTTAATTTAAACAAAGCAGACATGTGGTGATATATTGTGTCCCCCAATATATTGTGCACCCTAATAAAGCTTATCTGAAGATCAGAGGAAAAAGCCAGCCACTATAGTAAACATAGAAGTCAGGCAATGGCAGCACACACCTTTAATCCTAGCATTCAGGAGGCAGAGATCCATTCTGGTCTTTGTGAGTTCAAGGCCACACTGGGAACAGAGCCAGGCGTGGTGGCACATGCCTTTAATCCAAGCACTAACCATAGAGGTCTGGAGGTCTGTACAGACAGACAGACAGGAAGTGATGTAGCTGGGCAGAGAGAAGTGAGACGGCGGGACAGAAACGCATATAGGCGTGGGTATACAGGAAGTAGGTCTCTTTGGAAGCTGAGGAGTTAGTGAGGTGAGGTTGGCTGTGGCTTGGCCTGTTCCTCTGATCTCTCAGTTCTTCACCCCAATATCTGGCTCCAGGCTTTTTTTTTTATTTTATTAATAAGACCATTTAGCAATTCATCTGACACAGACACGTCTACTTGTTTCTGAAAAACAACCTTCTTACTGTGTAACTAGTGTTTGGATTCTTATCAGTGGTCCAGTTAGAAGGAGAAACTTGGCAGTCGAGGGATCTAATTCCCGAGTTTGATTTTGCTTGTCTGTCTGAATTTCATGACTTTTTTTTTAAAAAAGGGGTGGTGTTGTGATTTGTCTCTCAAGCCCACCACCATTATGAAGGATCCCACTGGAGTGGATGGAGAGACACCCAGTCCAGCAGACTGCAGTCTCTCCTCTGTGAGACAACAGTGAAAACAGATGTTGTCACAGAAGGGGCCTGATGTGTTTCCTCTTTTGCCTCAATGTCATCAATCCCACAGCAAAGTCAGATCCATAAGGATATTGCTGCTGACCAGGACTCGGCATTTTTTAAGGAGCCACACTCACCTCGAAGGAACTCCATTTTCAACTGATATGCCATGAGAAAGCTAGTTAGACACTAAATGACCCACCAGTTCCAGACAAAAGAAATGCAAACAGGTTGCTGTTGGAGGGGCCCTGAAAGAATAAACACACTGTTTCCATAATAAGAAGAGCTGGGCAAACAAGGAAACCAGCTGGCTCAGGGGTTAAGAGCATATACTGCACCCACATTGAGCAGCTCACAACCACCTCTAATCCAACCCTAAGGAATCTAACACCCTCTTCTGGTCTCTGGGTATCTGTATATACCCATCCCGGACATGCAAGCATAACATAATTAAAAATAAAATAAAACACATTTTTAAAAACATCTTTTAATAGATCATCAGGAGTAAGTAGGTACGCACAAAGCAGACAGGTCAGTGTCACTGCAGCTCACATTTAGAAAAGGCTCTTAGCTTTTCAGCAAAGTGTGACCTTAATGAGAGGTCAGCCAGAAGGTACTGCTGCCTACAGCTCCCTCAGGCACAGGCCATTAGCATGGTAGGTGTCATGTAAAGCTACATTTGATCCAGAAGAACCTGCGCAGCTGTTTTGAAAGTCTTAGGAGGCAGCCAGCCAGGAGCACCATCCATCCTGCAGTCCTCTCCAGCTCTGGCCTTGTGACCACCACGTGACTATTGGGAGTGCTGACTGGTCGTTCCCAACACAGGATTCCCGCCTTTCTCCAGCTAATTGGCCTGGGGAACACCTGGTCCATGCTGGGCTAATCAACACATTCCCTGTGACTTCTGCTAGTAAGAAATTAGTCTCTATATGAGACCTGAGAGACAAGGTGGAAACTTGTGACCCTAGAGTTTCTGGATGGTCCCTAGGACAGAGAACTAGAGAGAGGCCATTGGGATGGGAATTTTCAGAGTAAGGGGCTGATCCTCTCTGTAGAGTTATTTGCTGTATTTCCATTAGGTCTAATTTCACCCCAGACCTCCTGACTTATATAGAGAGGATGGTGACAGCCAAGACTGAGTCACAACATGGAGGCAAGACAGCAGGTGGGCAGACAGGGTTAACACCAGTGAGACTGAGTATTTTGAGCAAGCAGGACCACAAAGTATGTGACAGAGGGACAGGGGATAATTAATACAGGTTCCTTCCACATACTATTAAATGCTGCCAATTGGGATAAAGCACTTCGGTAAACCAATACCATAACTTTATGTTAGACTAGACTGTGGACAAGGTGGGGCTGGAAACTTCTCTGTACCAGAGCAGATAGCAGTAACGTGTCTTGCAGGGTCGTGGTCTCTCATAAATACTCAGCTGTGCACTGCTGTGCAGAAAAGGCCATGGATGAAAAGAAACAAGTGACCAGGGTTGTTTTGTGTAAACAGCTGGTTGGTCAGACTTATCTGACCCGTGCAGTTTGCTGTCTCCTGAACTAGGGTATTTAACCCAGATGCAGAAGATGATGGATTATGTATATTTAAAAAAATGAAATCAAGAAATGTTACCAAAGAAACCATGAATGGAGTTGGGTATGGTGGCTCATGACTGTAATTCAGGGTTTGAGAGGCCAAGCCAGCTTGAACTACAGAGTGAAATCCTGTCTTAAAAACACCAGAGGAGGAGAAGGAAGAAAGAGAGAAAGGGAGGAGGAAGGAAGGAAGGAAGGGAGGGAGGGAGGGAGGGAAGAAAGACTGAAAGAAGAAAGGAAGGAAGGAGAGAAAAGTATAAATAATACCACTGGATTTCATGCTTTAAACATGTGGATGCTGTCATCTACTTTAATAAAACTATTAGAAAAACAAAACCTTTGAAGAGAGAAAAAAGAAAAAAACACTAAAATGATTCTTATAAACAACAAAAAAGTCGAACAAACAGCAACAAGACAATAATGAGGGGAACACTCTTCTCATTACAAGGAACTCTAATTAATTTTAGATACAGGAATAACACTTGGAAAATAGAAGCAGGGGATCAGAAGTTCTAGATCATCCTAGGCTCATGAGTTTGAAGCCATCCTCAGATACATGACCATCTCTCTCTCACACACACACAAAGTGGAAACAAGCAAATAAATATTTTTTAAAAAATCAAAATAATGAAGCTTGATGTCTTTCCTTCTTTCTTTAGAAGACTTGCAGATTCCAGGTTCTGTTTAGAGAGGTTAAGGAACACAAACTTTCCTAACAAGAGGCATTTGTTTCGATTGATGATTGATATGGAAAGGCCCAGCTCACTGTGGTATTGGGTCCTGGGGTTGGGCAAACACTGGGGAATAGACCACTGAAGTCTATTAACCAGAAGTAAACTTTATTCCATCACCATGGTGTACCAGAACTTCTAACGAGTTAGGGCCACAGGCAGGGTCAGGATCTGACACTGTGACTCTGAAGAGAGGGAGTAGGTCCTTTTTAAAACAAAAACTGTAAGTAGGGGGGTCAGGAGTAATATAAGAATTTTTACAATTTGGGATTAAGTCCTGGGTGACTTTACGTTTTGGGAATTTACAACTTGTGATAACATAGTGTTTGTACAAGCTTAACAGGGGTTTGCCTACTCAAGTCTGTGGTTATCTTAACCCAGCTCTTGACACAGCTGGGGTTTTGTCTTAATTTTTAACCAACTGTTCTTCCTATGACTGAGAATATAGGGCAAGGATCAAGCAATAGGAGAAGCTGGGAAGGAGGGCTAATGTTCAGACTTACTCTGGGACTTTCAGTGAGTGATCGTGATCTCCTGGACAGGTGATCATGAGAAGCATAAGAAAGCAAATTGAGCAAGCCAGGGGGAGCAAGCCAATCAGCAGAGCTCTCCCATGGTCTCTGTTTCAGTTCCTGCCCTGATCTTCCTGCATGATGGACTGTCCTCTCCCCAAGTTGCTTTTTGTCATGGTGTTTATTGCAGTAATAGAAACCTAACTATGACAGTGAGTGGTGCTGTGGGATGTCTTTCTGTATGCTGTGAATATGGGTGGCTCCCATTGGATAATAAATAAAGTTGTGTTGGCCTATGGCAGGGCAGGATAAGGTTAGGCAGTACATTCAAACTGAAGATGAGATGAAAAAGGGTGGAGTTGAGGGAGACACCAGCCTACCACTCAAGGAGCAACAAGATGCCAGCAAACCAGTAATGCCATGGCCACGTGGCAACATATAGATGAATAGGAATGGGTTAATTTAAGATGAAAGAAGTAGCTAGCAAGAAGCTGAAGCCATAGACCATACAGTTTGTAATTAATATTAAGCCTCTGAGTAATTATTTTATAAGTGGCTGCAGGTGGGAGAAATTCATCTGGACCTTGGGGCCGGGCAGGACTAGAGAAACATCTGGCAACAGAGTGGTCCATGCCTATGACCTTAGTACTCTGAAGGCTGATGTAGGGAGGATTGAATGTAAAGTCAAGCCTGAGCTACATGGCAGACCCTCATTGTGATAGTTAACCTTTTAAAACTATTACGTTTATTTGGTGTGTGTGTGTGTGTGTGTGTGTGTGTGTGTGTGTGTGTGTGTGTGTTCAAGCTCTCAGGCACACATAAGTGGACCATGGCACAAGTATGGAGGTGAGAGAACAACTTGTGAGAGCCAATTCTTGATTTTCAACTTGATTGGATCTATAATTAACTAAGAGATAGGCTCTGGGAAGATCTTTGAGAAAATTCCAGGAAGGATTAATTGAGTGGAGAAGCCCCTCCACCAGAGTGGTTAACATCTCTGTCACAGCCCAGATTTTCAGTGAAGACTTTCATCGGTCTTCACAGAAAAAGCAGAGCTGATTGCTTGCTTTCACTTCTTGCTGGTAACTATATCGATGGTGCTGCTGCTGCCACTGCTGCATCCGTCAAAACCTAGCTTCTTTAGTTTTTCACCATGAGCCAAAGACCCGTAGCTATCTAGGCTTTTGGTGCCAGACTAGGACTGCTGAGGCATGGAGCACCATGAATGAATAGACAGCCACTTCTGTATTGCACAGCCCACACTTGGTGAGCCCCCTAATAAATAAATCACCTTTGTAAAATATATTTATTCTATCAGTTCTATTTTTCTAGAGAACCCTGATTAGCATTCCTATCTAATAAACAAATACAGCACATCAAGGAACAGCATTAGCAAGGAAGTGTTTCTAAGAAGCAATGAGTAACTGTCAGCATTTAGTCAAGCCAAAGGGATTGAATTGCACTAACAGGTCAAAGTTGATGCTTTGGTTGTCACTGTGGTGAGGACACCCACAGAGGACACTATGCACATCCTGCATACTCAAATGATTCCTCTGCATTCAGATATAAGAAAATCTGAAAATAAAACAGAACAGTGACCATCCAAATAGAAATGGGCAAAAATAAGGCTCATATTGTAGCTGGAAGTTTTCCTGTGTCAGGACAAATCCCTTCTACTTGCATCCCCCAAGTAAACACACAGAGGCTTATATTAATTCAAACTGTTTGGCCATTAGCTCAGGCTTTCCACTGACTACCTCTTACACTTAAACTCAGTGGACAGCAGGCTGATATCCCTCCCTTCCCCCACCCATGCCTTCTTCCTG